AGAGAGCATTGAGCTACCTACAATATCTCAAAGATATCCCTGGGCTGGGGGAAATGAAATAGCTGTCAACAATGGCCACTCCATCATGGCAAATCCCAAGGGAAATTAGCTTACAAAAAGACAGTGTCTTTCCAGATCATGGGAAAATGGGTACATTTATCTAATATTTTGTCTAAATATCCATATCTCCTATATTTAAATGAGATTCCCTCCACCCGTGAATTGGGGGAGTGATGGCTTGGTGGTGGCCTTATTTTCATTAAGAATGTGGTGCTAAAGGAAGTTGCTATAGAAAGTGAACAAATAGTAGAGGAAAATAATGAAAGTGGGCAAAAGGGTGAAGATACAGAAGATGCAGTGACTGAAAAAGAGACAAGGAAAAGAACAAAGTTCCTGCTATTATTTCAGGGAAACTTGGATAAACATGCCCATTCTATTCTCACTTTTCCCCTTGTTCTTCATGCGTAGAAGGTTAGTGTTTCCCATGGTGGACTTCTTCTGTTCATGGTGACTCATCACCCAGATGTTTTGTATGATACAAACCCTCTTCAAGTGAGTGAGGATAATAAAATTGGGGACAGCATATAGACAATTATATGGAAATACAAACCAAGATTGCTAGAAGTAAAAGGAAGGTGAACAAATTTGGTTTACTTGACCGAGGTTAAAATAAGACATGTTTCTATAAAATTCTGTGAATGCTTTATGAACTTTTTGCTGCCAGAAATGTTGAAATGTTAATGATTTATGTATTTGCCTAAGAAGAGGAATGGATTATGGGAAAGAGGGACACTTGGATGTAATCTTATAGGGAGTAAAATCTTGTTTGTACTTGTGATAAAGTTTGGAAGTCACTTCTTTAAATATTTTCCTCTTTTTTCTTATGTTTTGTTCTTTCTGTCCTTTTTCTTATTTTTTCTTACCCCCCTTTTTTCTTGAGCTTTCTATTCTGTCTTTCTATATATCTTTCTTTTTTCTTCTAAATGTAATTTGTATTGTCTTTCATTATTATTTTTTTAAATACACATTATTTTTTAAAAAAGGAAATACAAGCCATTTAACTCAGTGGAATTTAACACACAGTAAGCATATGTATGAAGCTAGTTTGGTCTAGTGCTGGCCTAAGATTAGGAAGACCTAACTTCTAGTACTGTCTTAGGCATGGAAGTATATTGGATGATTTTGGATTAAGGCATTTTCTCTCAGCCCTAATTAAAAAGCAATGGCAAACCACTTCTGAAAATGTTCCTTAGATAATTGTACAGATCTGCCCATGTAGTCACCAGGAGTCAAAAAAAGAAGAAAAGATTTTTTATAGATCATGTTTGCTGAATCTGGATTGTTGCAGTCCATTTTTAGACATTGTGCCAATTATCACAGCCAATCACAATTAAACCTAATGTAGGATAACAGCAAAGATAATAATGCTGGGGGAAAATGAACATGGCAGGAGAGCATAAAAACATTTGCAAGAAAGCTCAACAAATGGTGGCTCTAGTCCTTAGGGTTTTTAAAATGCAGGATGAAATCCTAAACATAGCTAGAAACAGAGAGACACATGAATGCCTGCATGTGAGATATCATTTTGGTTCAATTTTCCTCATGTACAAAATGCAACTATCTCCAGCAGAGGTGGAAAACTATGGCCCATTTATGCCTTGTGGACTTCAACTCCCAGAATTCCTGAGCCAATTCTGGGAGTTGAAGTCCACAAGTCATAAAAAGGTCAATATTCCCCACCCCTGATCTACAGTATAAGGCACTCTCTCTATTTATTTATTCATTTATTTAAAACATTTATATAGCCACCCATCTTTCAATCAACTGGGTGGCTCCCAATCAAAAATTAAAAGATGTATAAAATCATTTTAAAAACTACAAAACACGACTAGTTAAACACAAAACATTAAAACAACAAAAATGGCGCGTCTGGCACCATTCCAGATGTGCCATTATCTAATCCTCTCTCCAGCCTTTTTGGAAGGCAAAAAGGGTAGAGATCTGCCAAACCTCAGGGGGAAGAGTGTTCCATAGGGCAGGGGCTGCCATGGAAAAGGCGCCCTTCCTAGTTCCCAAGAGACGACAATATTTGGGGAAGGGACAAGGCGTGTGCCCAGCCTGTCTACCTAATAGAATGGGTAAGATGTCCTTAGGGAAAGGCAGTCCCACAGATTGTCCAGTATTGTCTACATTAGCAAGGTTTTATGGGACATAAATTCAAACATGGACAGATTCCTTTCATAGAAATTTAATGAGAAGTGCCAAGTGCGTATACACAATTGTTTCACATGAATCTTTTGTGTGCATGCTGGCATGTATGAATTTGTGCCAAAAGATTATTTGATGAGCTTTCTCATCAAAATGGGTGGAGTAAAAAATCTAGTCTCTTTGTTGTGGCGTGTATGTCAGCCTGTACGTCTTGCTAGCAATAAGAATAAATCAAAACCCATTCCTGAATTAAAGGCTGAATCTTGGGGAATTTCGGCCAACAACATTTACTTAATTTCTTTCTCTATTTCCTGGATTGGCGTTGCCTACTTGAGATATGTTTCTGCTACAAATGCTAGGATGATATTTTTGCTATCTTGTAACAATAAAAAAACAAGTAAAATACGCTTCGGAAATGGAGCAAGCTGGCCAAGAATTGCTCCATCAATTCTAGGACCCTGGACAACCCTAACCCTATGCAATCCAGGATCAGGGGTAAAAGCCCAGTTTTCAAGACCTGTTTAACAGATAGCAGGTTCAGGGCTAATCAGTCCTGTAGGGCCGTGGGGTGGCCTGCTATTCCAGTCAGCAGGCATTGCAACAGATCTGCTTCCTAGGCCCCATGAGAAGATGGTATTGCTCAAGACAGGATACAATGCAACCTCACTCTGTCAGGTTTTACAAAACCAATGGGCGAAAAACATTCCTATTTGAGTATGTATAATCCACATATCTCCTAGTTGACTAGAGCCTTTGTGAGATGAGGTGATTGGGTCCATGTGGTGATGAATAAATCCTTTATGATCAGGTGGTACCTTCCTCCTCAATGAGTTATTGCTCGACCCTTGTCAGGCACAAGCAACTGGAATAGCTCTGAGGCCTAAGTCAAGAGATTTCTTTCTTTCTTTATTTTGTTTTATAATTTTTTATTAATAATACAAAATTAAAAACACATTGGACATAGATATGACGTCACTGGTTCCATACATCTTCCGACATTTTACAGTAGTATTAGTACTCATATAGACATATAGTTCTTGAGCTTTGCTCACTATTTATAATATAATATTAACACTTTTCACCTTATTTCTGTATATCTATTTATCTTTTAAATATACATTTGTCTATAATCTATATTTTATTCTAACACTATACATTTGTCTTGGCTACCCTCTTATTGTCTATCCAATCATAACATTGTTCCCAGATTTTGTAGTACTTAGTTTCACTTTTATCCTTGAGTTCCCATGTAAGTCTATCCATTTCAGTGCAATTGAAAATTTTCAGTAATATTTCCTCTTCGGTTGGAGTATCTTTCTCTTTCCATTTTTGAGCGAAGGCTATTCGTGCCGCTGTTACTATATGCAGTAGTAAATAATTTGTATCTTTCTTATATTTTCTTTCTATAATTCCCAATAAAAAAAATTCCGGTTTGGCCTCTATATCTTTTAGCAAAATTTCTTCCAGCCATTTCTTTAAATTTCTTTCTTTCTTTCTTTCTTTCTTTCTTTCTTTCTTTCTTTCTTTCTTTCTTTCTTTCTTTCTTTCTTTCTTTATTTATTTATTTATTTATTTATTTATTTATTTATTTATTTATTTATTATTTTCTTTAGATTTCTTTATTGTTGATTCACCAGTTCATAGGAATCTCACTAGACTTCCTGCTTTGCACTTTCTGCAGACTGTCTGCTGACCTTAACTTTTCTCATACCCATGTACATCTGAACCCGCACCCATCAACTACTTTCAGTTACCCATTTCTCACAGTTCCAGTCCTTATGTTCTAAATATATTTGAAACAAGCAAGTTTAGCAAAATCATATTGAGTAAAATACAATTGCAGTTTAGATTACAAATAGTTCCTCTGGACTGCATAACACAGACTTTGGTTCAATACCTTTTCCATGAGACTTGATTTAGTTCTCATGGCCCTAAATCTTGTGTAGAAGTACAATAGCCAATATTTTCATTTTCCACATGTCCGTCCGTCCGTCCGTCCATCCGTCCATCCTCCTCCTCCTCCTCCTCCTCCTCCTCCTCCTCCTCCTCCTCCTCTTTTCCCCCCTCTCTCTCATGCACAAACACACATACACACAAACACACATCTATTCATTTATCTATGCTGATGGTATTATGAACCATACAATTGGCTGCTATTAATCTGCACACAGAATCATAGAATGTTAGGATTTAAAAAGACCTTGGGTAATCTTCCCCGCCCATGCAGGGATTCACTGTCTTAAGGCAGCTAGTCTGTGAAGTCTTCTCTGACTCTAAGGAACCCAGCGATATTTGCAGAATCCTCATACGTTGCTAATGGGTATGAGGATTCATGGCTGAAAGTATGTAGCTTGTCTAATGCCGCAAATTTTCTGGCTGAGAAGTGAGATTTGGGGCAAGACTGACCTACATCAATGTCTTAGTGACACTATCATTTTAGCATCATGTTTTGAAGGTGTTTAATGGGCATCCTACACAGATAGAGACCTTTCCAAATGAATTAACTACAAATAGCTGTATCTCAACACACTTTTGTCTTATGGGAAGATACGTGTGTCACAGTAGCTGCAAACAGGAATTTCCTGCTTGGATTAATTTGATTTATATCACTCTAGAACACATAGACTCATGCCTATGGCAAGGGCTGATATTGGTGGACACACCTCTTCCTTCCTTGTGGGATGCTGTGCTATCTATCCTTGAACTTCAAGCTCCTCCTAGCTTGTCTCCGAATGAACCACCCATGTAATATATACTGATGTAGCAATGACAACCGGCTGAAGTTGGTTGAGTCTGTTTCCTGTACCTCTTGGAGACTCAGCACCTGGGCTGTGGTGATAATGAAGAGTTGGGCATTTCTCCTCCTGCTAGTAGAGATTTCCAGTCTAGCATCTGGATGTAAGTTTGCTTGTAAATAGACTGTGCATTATTTAGAAGAATTGCAACCAGAGATGGTGGTTTCATGGTTTGATTCTTTAAGGTACTGAGAAAGAACTTGCTAGGGGAATTTCAAATTTGAAGAAATATTTAAATTGACATTCTTTGTAATCCCATACGGGAATAAAACTGAATTCAGTTATGTATAGGCAGTGATCACTAGGCTGCCAATCCATGATACATTTACTGTGGAGGAAGCCAAAAAGGGAGAAAGCAGATAAGAAAGCCGTAGATCGGGTATACAGTTGCATTTTTACAGTTGCATTTTTACATTTTTTATGATGACATGCTCAAAAAACCACAGCTGTACTGATTTTGTAATAAATGATTGAGTTGAATGGTAGGAAACTGATACTGAGTAATAGGAAAGATTCACTATGATTGGATGAGGTATGCATGAATGTCAACACTCTCTTGCAGTCATCAAGTGGACTTAGAAGGGGGAACATTTCTTCAGCTTGATTCATACAACAAGCTGGGAGAATGAACCTTCACCCTCATCCTACACCCGAGCTATATATATTTGCCACTATTGCAAATCATACAACCTTGTTGTAACCCAATCAAGTCTGTTGCAAGTAGAAAAGAATATTTGTAGCTCAGGGTTGAATTGATGAGCCTCTTAGCTTGGTTATTTTCTTAAGTTGTTTCATTACCCAACTAGGTAACATCTTCAGTGCTAGAAGGGAGTGGTGTTTGCTCTCTATTTATGTATAGTGGTTCGCCAACACCTAACAGAGAGCAAAGAAATGTCTGCAAGAAAACAACCAAGATCAAGGAGCAACAAGGATTCCACAAATCTGTTGCTTTTGTTATTTTTCACTCAATGGAAACCCACACATATAGTCCCTCAACCACACACACACACACACACACACACACACACACACACATGTACAGTATATATTGGGCTATAATTTCCACCTTTTAAAATTATTTGCTTTATTTATATATTGTCACATTATCTATGAACTCACAGTAACAAATAAACTCAAGTCCAGGTAACATGCATGCTGTTTTTTGAAATAATGCTATTGTCTCATACATCTAGATGTACTTTTACTTATCATAAGAAATGAGGTAGAGGTGAACCATAGGAATGTTTAGTGAATCCAAAGTTCCATCCTGTATAAAACTTTTGACAGATCTGTATTATATATATATATGTAATATCTGTATTGTAGGTCTTTGGTTATTCGGGTTTTCTCCCGCGTAAAATTGGAAGTGTCTTGGCGACGTTTCGACGAAGTCCCATTCGTCATCTTCAGGCTGGTGTTTTCAGCTTCGTGCTTCTAGGAGTAAGCTAGAAGCTGAAAACATCAGCCTGAAGATGACGAATGGGACTTCGTTGAAACGTCGCCAAGACACTTCCAATTTTACGCGGGAGAAAACCCGAATAACCAAAGACCTACATACAAACACCCGCAAAAACCTCAGAAAACAAATATCTGTATTGTATATATAATTGTTATGGTTGTTTGATCGCTTCTCAGTCTTTTTGACTAGAAGGACATCATTTTGGTCCTTTTGAGTTCTTGTGATGATATTGTTACCCTCTCTTCTGGTGGCCTCTTTTTTATTGTTTTTGCTTTTCCAATCGTCAGGTCTTTGGCAATGACTTGCAACTTTCCATGATGTGTCTGAACTATCATTATTAGTGTTTTCAGTGAGCAGTATAATTTTACCTCATCTAAAAATCAATGACTTATTCTCATTGTGGTCCAGCATGATTTCTTTTTTCATTGTTCAATGTTTCTGATGTTCCAGCTTTCAAACCATGGCCTTGAAAATATAAACCTATGTTTTCTATGTGATATCTCTAAGCTCAATTAGTCTTATATCTAAAATAGGAACACCACGTTGTCTCAAGAGCCCTTTTTCTGATGTTAATCCTTCTCACATCCATGACTACTGAAAAGTAACAGCAAGGTTTTCCATCACTTTGAGGCCTGAAACATAGGATATCTGTAATTCAAATCCTAAAGTAAGCTTATCAGGTTAAACCCACCTAACTCCCAACTCTCTGTTTCCCAAACTGGTTTGCTTTAAATATGTTATGTGGCTCCAAAACTTTAGGGTTTTTAGCTACCCAAAGAAAGTTAATGTGTCCTTTGGCCATCAAATAGTTGCCCATTCCAATTCTAAGCAGATATGTGTAGGATCAGATATGAGTCTACACTCTCTTAAGGCCTCTGAAAATTCCTCAATATTAGAATTTTCAATTTACTTTGGGGAAGATATTTTTTATATCTATATATATCATGTTTATATCACATTTTTGCTTCATTGTGATTCAGGAAAGTATCAAACTGCTTGTACCACAGACTGGGAGTGGTAACCTGATGTCAGTTCTCTTACTACTACCATAGCTTGCTGGAAGAAGAGCCCTCGTTGTAGATTGTGAGAGATGGAATTAAATCGTAAAACACTTTCACTGGAGAAATTTTTAGCAGAAATTGACATTCATTAAGGATGCCATAATTGCAACATCCCTGTAATAAAATAGGATTGAATGTATTAAGAATCTGTTCAGTTCTTATAATTTAAGATTCCTTGATTACCCTTTCAAGGAAGACAAGTCTATGGATATGTAGCCTTGTAAAAATGGTTTCAGAACATGGTAGATCATGCATGTCTATGGAGTTTCTCAGTCATCCAGGTCATGATTGTCCCAAAGGTACTTTTCATAAGGCAGCTGGAGTCCCTTTGTTTTTTCCTTGAAGACATTTTGCTTCTTGTCCATTCTTCAGATCCAAAAAGAACTTCTTGTTACATTTTAAGTTGGACAGTCTTGCCCCAAATTGCTGATATAATGAGGAGCAAAATGGGCTGAATATTGAAGGGATTAGTTAAAGAAAGAAACCTCTGCACGTCATTGCCGTATCTGTCACACTTGGAATTTGCTCCCTTGTGGTTTGATTTGCTTGTCAGAAACTAGCTGGGAGTGTTGTAATCACGTGACCATAAGACTCTGCAACCATCATAAATGTGAGCCGATTGCCAAATGCCTCACGACTGTGGGGGTGGGATAACGGTCGCAATTTCAAGGATGGGTTATAAGTCCCTTTTTTCTGGGGCTGTTGTAACTTCAAATCATCATTAAACAAGCAGTTGTAAGTCAAGGGTTACCTGTATGGTATGACTGTCAAGGACAATATTGGAGAACAGGGTAGCAAACAGAATTGCCTCAAATGGAACAATCCAGAATGCCCCCTCCCACACATACACACAATTTCTCAAGCAAGCTTTGAATACTTTGATTTCTTTTCTGACCATAAAAATGTCTTAGCTTTTTGTAGTGTACTGCAGAATTCAACTGTAATTTTTTTTTAAAAAATCAGCTATTATTTTTGTTGAGGATTATACTGTTGGAATTGGTAGGAAATTCCAAAGACATAGTCTATAGGAATCACATGTTAGGTAAGAGGGCGAGGCTGTTCCTTGAAGTAATGATTATTGATCTATGCAGTGATAAAATGTTATCCTAGGATGTTAGCTTAAGAAAAACAGCATGTGAATGTTCACAGAAAGCCACAGTTGGTACCTACAGAAACTAGCAAATCAGCGTATCTTCCTTATTAGTCTTCAGTGAATTAGGCTGAGTCAGATGGCATTTTCAAGCAACAATTTTGTAACATTTTCTTCCTTCAAACTGAAACAGGGTGGAAATCAAAGTAGCTGGTGTGGGTGGAAGCATGGCAGCAATGAGAAACTATGAGTAAAGAGGTGTCCAACGGGTCTTTGGGTGCAAAGCAAGAAATACAGATGTATCAAGCTTCTTCTGGCAAGCTACATTGGAACCAGCTCAACAGGCATGTCTGATTGGGAGTTTTATAGTACAAAAGCTAAGAAGTGATTAAGATAGGATTCCAGTGACAGCTGTGTATTAAACCTGAATCTTAGCAAAATCAAGGTTCAGACCCTTTACCTCTTTTTCTGGCCTAGGCTATGCAATGGGATGGATGCCCCCTCTTATGAGGGAGGGGCTACTTTTCATATTGCAATTTCTGATTTTGATAATGGACAGATCAGCTGTCAAAGTGTTTATGAAACTCAAAAGCTCATTGTGGCACAGAGATGCTAGAAACCTAGAAGAAGAGCTTGAAAGGGGGGAACAGTAGAAAAATAGCTGCCTGGGGCAGCAGGGTGTGTGTGACGTTGTGTGACGTATCAGAACTTTTCCCCCATTGCTGGCAATGGGGTGGGCATGGTTTCCTTGTGACGCATCCGGCCCGTGGACCGGCAGTTTGACGCCCCTGCTTTAAGGAGTCAACTTTAGTTAGCTAGAAACAGAAACTTTAGTTAGCTAGAAAAGCTCACACTTTTTTGGGATGGTTTACCAGTGCTGTCTTCTGTGTTTTTTTGTTTTTTGTTTAATTTTCCAACATATGCAATAGCCCTGGGATTTCCCTTTTAAAAACTTTATTTAGTTTAAAAAAGTTAGAGAAACATGGAACATTTAAGAAAGCAAAAAATATCGTACGGATAATAAAGCCGAGGTAGATAAACAACAGACCTAAGAAAGTATTTCCTAAATGTTTGTCATCCCACCTCTCTTTAATTGTTAGATTTTTATTCCATCGTTATTACTTTATACATAACTCAAGGTGGCGAATATACCTAATACTCTTTCCTCCTACTATTTCCCCCATAATAGGAGGTGGGAGGTGGGTTGGGCAAAAAAAGAATGACTGGCCCAAAGTCACCCAGCCAGCTTTAGTGTAGTCTTAGTGTACACACCTTCCCTAAAAATCAAAACATGAAAATGTAAACAAATGAACAATGAAAACAATAAAATGAAAGTTTGGGAAAGGTGGATTTATTGCAACAACAGAACTAAAAGGTTCTTCACGTCTCCCCTGGACTCTGTCTGCACTGAACCAAGGGGGATAACATTACACAATTTGGAAAATCCTGAACATGTATCATAAAAACTGATATGCTTCAGTATATATTTAATGATTTATGATATTATGCAATATTTCACATCCTTTCTCTAAAGAAAACACAAACATCCTTATGGGACTTTAAACTAAGAGCACTTGGTTAACATGGTCATTTGTTGAGATGGGCAGCTACAGAAATAATAATAATAATAATAATAATAATAATAATAATAATAATAATAATAATAATAATAGTAGTAGTAGTAGTAGTAGTAGTAGTAGTAGTAGTAGTAGTAGACTAGACTAGACTAGACTAGACTAGAATAGAATAGAATACTTTGGGATTTTCTATATCTAAACTCTAACTAGGCTGCTTAGTTTTCTAGGTCAGATAAGGTTGGTTAATATAATCACTTCCTTACGTAGGAAGGATCACACAGTCTTGGCAGAAACTATATCCAACAGGAAGATGTAATCTGGGTTAGATGACCCAAGAGTAATGGTCTGAAGTAAACTATCTTCTCTCTCTCACTTCCAGTTTGGACCTTCAAAACACTTTTATGGCTTAATGATCCTACTTGACACTTGGCCAAGTTGTTCAAGATGATTAATAAGCCATCACAGTTGCTGCAGTGCACAAGTGCTTCTTTCATCATTCTGCTTCATGTTGATCTGGCAACTGATTGCTAAGTGTTCAATGTTGATTATGAAATATGAATCACCACCAAAGCGATGATAATAAGAAGTGAAATCTCATAGATTTAAAGAGGTGGAAAACCATAAATCACATTTCTTGGAATTGAAATTAACTGCTGTAAGGTTGGGCTTTTGAATTAAACTTTCAAAATATGAGGGGAGACAATGGGAAGAGTTTAATATTATGTATTATGTAATATTTAACATCCGCAAGTAATGCATTAAATGAATACAAAGGGAAGTGTTTATTTTGTGACATAGGAAAGTGATATGTATATGGTAGAATTGTGGCATGTATAACATACTAAGGGAGATGAGGAAAGGAAAGTAAGGAGAAAATAGTTGGCTTTTCCAATGTTTTAGAAAACTTTCCCAACTTTGAAACTTTCATAGCAATTCTCCATGGAAAAATGTAGCAAGTACTTTTTTTTTCTTGTAGAGTCCTTGGTGTGCTTTGAGTTTGATTGTTTGCTTGTTTCATTACCTGACTAGTGAACAACATCAATGCTAGTGAATGTGGTTTCAGCTAAGCAGACAACAAACAATCAAGCAGAAAACAATACTTTAATCAAGGAACTACAAAGGAGAAAACCACACTCACACCAACATGGGCAGGATAAGCTACTGTATATAAACAAAGAGCAAACCCCACACTCACTAGCACTGATGCTATTGTCTAGTTGAATAATGAAACAACCACAAGCAAATGTCAAAGCTCAGAAAGTACCAAAGACTGCATAGTTTAACCCCGGGTTACATATATTCTCTTCTATTTATATATATATTATCTTGCTTGGAATCCCTTTTCTGGCCAATCCAGATTGAGAGTTCTTTGATTGCTTTCCCTGGTATAATTAGTTTGGAAGTAAGCCACTGGCAATAGAAGGTGAAGTTCACTTAGTTCCAGAAGAATGTTATTAAGTCTTTTTTTTTAGTGCAAGCTTTGTGTTTGAGGAAACGCATTTGATACATTATCAGCCATCTCTTTCTGCATATTCTTTAATTAAAAAAAAGAATGCAACAGAAGAGAGAGAGAGAGGGACTGACAAAGAGGAGGAAGAGAAGAATAAAAAGGAAAAGTGCTTATAAATGGGTATATTTCGAATGATCCAGAAACAACACAACAAATATTTTTGAAATATTTGAAGGGTCATCATGCAGACAAGGGAGATGTATCTTCTGTTGCTCTGAAAGGCATTATATCCAAACAAGTGAATTCAGATAACAAAAATAGGATGTAGATTAAAGATGAGAAAGAAGTTCCTGATGGAATAAAGTATCTGACCATCTTCCAATGATTCTTAACAAGGGAATGAGAGAAGCCTGCCTTGGAAGGGGAACTCAAGGCTTTAGATGCAGGAAGACTTCAGGAAGTCTTCTCAAGGTGATCTCAGTAAATGGATAGGTTTATAGGAATAAATAGTCCTTGATATCTTCTGGGCTTCAGCATGTTAAAGATCACCATCATTATTTTGAGCTAGTACCTAAAACCAATGTGGAAGCCAATTCAATCAAGTGTGCTCTATACACCACCCACACAGCATCAAAGTGTTGCAATCTCTATAAATGTAGAGAGATCCCCATTCTTTGACAATATTCAAAGGACACTAGTCAAAGAACAGAACCTAAATGTTCTTGAAGCCAGTTACTAGCTGAGTGAGACCCTCCATTAGCCTTCAAATACTGGATCATGATCTTTTTTTGCTCCAATTTGCTGCTAATCCTGGCCCTGCTAATTATTTTGCCTCTCCCAATATACTTCTACTTTTCAGCTTTGTATGGGCCTGCAGATTCCTGCAAAGGACGATGTAATGAAAAATATAACCGGGAAGATGAGTGCCACTGTGACACTAACTGTGAACAAAATCAGAACTGCTGTGAAGATTACCACATCCACTGCAAAACAGGTAAAACATTCTCAGATCAAGCTTAACTAAGTGGATGTCACTACTATATATTAGTTGTCCTGAGATCAGAATGGAAATAGTTTACACATTGCCCGTTTTTTTTTACATGTTAAATCATTTAATCTAGCCAAAGACACGGTATACTGGTTGTCTTGTCACCCATCTTAGCTACTCTAGTCTGACCTAACTTATCTTTTTTTAAATTAGCCAGGATTAGCAGCCGACTGCCCTCTATTGAACACACACACACACACACACACAACAAATACACCCCTCCTCATAGAAAAAGTGACTGTCTTCATGCATATCCATACTCTCCAAGTTTGTGTAGATTAACAAGAGATAAGATAAAATGTTTTATAATAATTCCTTGTTTAAAATAAATAAGGTCGTATCGTCAAATTGGAGACACATAATATGGAATAGAAATTTGATATGTTGCTTCTTGTTGCTGTAGCTGTTTGTGTCCAATCAAAGAAAGCATGTGAGTCCAAACCAATGGAAGAAGGGGTTTACTAAGCTATTTAAACTAGGTCCCTTCTTTTGCCAACTTAGACCTCATTTTGAAGGATGGACTCTAGGGTGCATGTCTGAAGCCTCTCAATCCAGGAAGACCCCAAATAACTCTCAGATGTCAAAGCCAAACGGCCTCTGTACACTTCTTCTACTTCATTTAAATGCCAAGAGAAGACCTCAAGAGATCACTCCACCCATGGGACTTTTTCAGCAGTAGCATTGTTGGTCTTGCTGAAAAATTTCTTTCTTCCTGCTTTGTCCATCCCTAAATCAATGAGCTGTTGTCTTTGAGGATGCAAAGCAAAACAGGACACTGAAGTGTCAAGTGAGGAACAACCAGCAATTCATGGTCTTTTCATTATCAGGAAAAGCAATTTTGATTGTGCCAAGTTTTTGAATCAACTAACAACCTGAGTTTGCAAGATACTGTTGTTACATGCTTTGGATGTGGGTGGCTACTTGTGTGGTTTACTGTTTTAGCAATATTATTTAAATTGCCATGTTATGATATTATATTTTAAGTGCTTGGGATTTCATTGGCTGATTTTAATCTATTATAAGCCTCCCTAGGAAAACCTGAGGGTGACACTTTTTAAAATGAATATATAGTCCAAAAGGGCAACATCTAAACAGTTAAGCTGCCTGCCCTCCTCGCTCTCCCTCTCTTTCTCTTTCTCTTTCTCTCTCTCTTTCTCTCAGACTTAAAATAATGTGTGGACATTATAGCTTTGATTGTCTAGATGGGTGGTCACCCGGCATGTCTATGGGGTAGACATAGATCACAAAAATCAAGATGGTGCCTGTTACCATACAATTAAAACTCCTTCCCTTTCATGTGCATTGCATGACACAAAAAGGTCTTCAATTGCAATGGTGGCAGCCACTACTTTGATTTTTCTGACCCTAACCCTATGGATATCCCTGGTACCACATAGGACTTGTAGGGAGAAGACAACAAGAATGTTGGTGCTGCGAGGAAAAAAATGCCATGGAAGGAATACTAGATTTTTTTGAAGATGATGTTGCTATTGATATTGCCTCTGCCAATACTCTGGGCAATAAACCAGAGTGGCCAAGGGAAGGGGATCCTAGGGCCTCCACAAATTTCTGGAGCCACAGATATATTTGGGAACTCTAGAGAATGGAAAGAAACCAGACCCAGTTGGACTCAATGGGTTTGTTTTTCATACCCGGTCATGCAATTAGATCAATCTAGTTGGTGTTTTCACCCACATAGGGGATCTAAGCAACGGCAGCCCTTGCATGATCTTGCTGCATTTGGATGTTACACAGGATTGAGTATCTGAATGGGAAACCACCAGAGAATCCCAGGAATATAGGCTTGATTGGGAAGTAGGAAAAAAATGCAAAAATAAAAAGCAGTGTCCAGTCATTTCTATATTGCTTCCAAGAAGGCTGCATGAACAGAGCCATCAAATCATCTAGTGTTGAACTTGACACAAAGGAGATTTTACATTTTTTTACCAAGGCAACTGACCTGTAATATGGTTGGGTTCTTAAATATTGGTTGGGCCTCATCACTGGTAGAAGGCAAAACAAAATCAGCCATCCTGAGAAACATTGACGAGTGACGTATCAAGTTTAGAAAGAAACAAAATAAAACCATCAGGCTTTTGTCCAAAAATATGAAAGGTGATTCCCAGGAGAAGCCAAACAAGTTTGGAGCCACAGGCCAAGGAAAAGGATATCTTGGAGGTAGGGGGCAAGCATGTCACCAAATCATGGCATTTAAGGAAACTCTCTCCCTCACAATATGTCATAGCTGAGTATGGGGATGAGGAAGAAAATGTCTAGACTTAGTTCTAGCTTAGTTTAAGGGGTTTATCTTCCTAATGCAAAGTATCTCCACAGCCTCAATCCTTGCTGATTGCATCTGTTGAAAGAAAAAGTCTTCATCAGGGTCCAGTCCAAGCTGGGGATAAACAAAATGGAGACTGATTTAGGAAAGAAGATTGTAGTTTATTGAAGAGCAGAACCAGACAGAAATGTGGCTCTGGGAAAGCTGACCACATGGAGCAGGGAGTGGTGGGTTTTTATAACTTCTTGGGCTTTTGTGTTTGGAGTTGTTTCCTGTTCCTTTGGGGAAATATAATATTCTGTCCTTTTTAATATCCCCCCAAAATATTTCCTTCTCTAGGAGGGTGGGTGGGTCCTTAAGAACTGATGCATTTGGTGAGCACAAACAATGGGAATCAATAAATTGGAAAGTATGGAAATATTCCTCCAGATGATATGCAAAAATCCAAAATGGATAGGTGGAAGTTGCAGCCATCTTTTCTTTACTGGCAAGAAGGCCATATCTGTAGCAATAAATGACAAGTTTGGTGCTTCTCCGTGACCAGAATATTAATGCCAGATTTCTTCCTTCTTTAACAGGTACCACAGATGACAAAGAAAAGGGCAAGTATTGGAACCTTCTCTTCATCTTTACATGAAACGTGCAATGAAAATGGCTAACTGCTAAAGCCATAGAGCTATTGGTGAATCCTTTGAGGAGGTAATGAAGGCAGGATTGAGCTGATTGGGTAGGAACTCTTAATATAAAGGAATTCTTAGCCAATCAGCATCCCTACCTCCTCTACCAAATAGTTCTTAGTTGCTTAATTTTGCTCCTAGAGTTTCTACAGGGAGTAGAAACTGCTTCTATCAATAGTAATTGCTAGCTCACCAACAGTTGCATACTGTACTTCAGTGATGATAAAGACATTTCCCAGATCTATTTCTTGCAGTTAAAACATTCACTTCCTCTTCACTGACACCTAGTGGCAGCAACCACTTCCTTTCTATTGAAAATAATTTCATTTGCCAGTTGGTCAAAATAGGGATATTTTGGATGACAGTTCTATCACCCTTTGCAATTGGCTCTGCAGGCTGGCGTTTATAGGAATTGTGTTCAAAATACCTTGAAGATAACAAGTTGCCTATAATTGCAATCAAACATTAGCAGTTATACAACTGAATTCATCCATGTGCCTATATGGTCTTGGTTCCCTTAATTTTAAGGATACTGCAGGAAAATTTACATTTAAAAAAGGATTTTAAAACATGCTTCCCTTCTAACAATATATAGCCAGAAGCATTTGGATCTTTTGACACCACTAAGAACTATAGTGAGCAGAAAACTAAAGTCCAATGTATACTTGAATCCAAGAGGTGTTTACTATATACAGTACCATTTTATCATGAGTCTTTTCCAATTCATCATCCATAAATCCCAAGTTTTGGGGTCTTTCTAGATGACTGGTTCTTAAATAGTTTGATCCTATTATCCAACTATTTAAACCTTTCCCAGTTTTAAATAATGTCATTAATACCCCCTCTCCCCAAAAAACCAACCCCAAAGTAAAATAGGCTGTTATTTTATACAAGTGTCTCAAAAGCAGCAATCCCAAACTTCATTACCATTAGGATAGGTACAAATAACCACAGTATAAGAGCCACTGCTCTAGGTAGACTTTGCTGTGAAATAAGATGAGGAAATTCAACAAGTGGCACAGTCAACTCTACTTGAGTTTGAATAAGTTCTCAGATGTTGCCAGGTGACTACCTGGAGCTCTCCATGGTGATCAGAACATGGAACAGTCAGGTTGGATCCTTCCTGCTTTATGATCTAGGGGTTCTAGTATGAGAACAGAAAAAGGAAGAGCCAGATGTCAATCCCCTGTAGCCATAAATCTCGTGAGGATTGCTGCCAGTTGTCCCTCTTGTTATTTGCTGTTTAGCCTAAACTATCTCACCAAATAGCTGTAAAGATAAAGCCGAAGTAGACTCCTTGGGAAAAAGACAGAATCCTTGGTAGAATTAAGTCTTGCACACAAGACACATTGTGCACATTATAAAGTAATCATCCACATTCTAGCTTGTTCTGCTCTAACAATCTTTGTGTTGATTGCACATGAATAGCTGAACCACTAATGTTACTCAATAAATTTGCCTCAAAACCTACTGTGCTGCTGTGTGAATGCATGGGTATTATTTAGTCTTTGCAACTTTGCACTCTCAGTATCTTCCTTTCTTACAACCAGGTGCTGATCAGAATATAAATCTTATGATACTGTTTTTTTAATTTAAAAACAAAACACAGATAATATATGATGTGTTTTAATAGACAACTACATTTAGTAATGTATCTTCTGAAATTAAAACATCTTTACACTTTAAAATAAAACATGCTCAGAGGTAGAAGTTAAATGAAATGACAAACTGACACAAATCAGAAATAGTTTCAGCTATGCATTCTCAATATGCATACTTGTATACTTTTCAAAGTTGTATTTAAAATTCTTCAGAAGATTTTTATCTGCAATCTTTGAATCGACGTGGGTGGATAGCATTCTTTGCCCATTTTAAGCAGCTTTGCCAAGTGACTGATTCAAATGACCTTAAGCTAAAATCATTATTTTTCCATCAGAAGGATTCTCATACAGAGACAATACTATAACAGATGAAGAACTACAAGAAGCATCAGAGAAGATTTACCAGACTGACCACAATAGAGCAGAGGAGTCTGACATTGTCCTGAACAAGCAATTCTTCACTTCCAAAACAAATGGACATGAAGATAATTCTCCAGATCGGTGGGTTTAACCTATTGGAATGTAAACTATAAAGCGAACATAGGCAATTGGAATGGTAGACCCTTAATTACAGATAACCAAAATTCCAGAGATGGAAAAATAACTATTTAGCATTCTTGTTTCTAAATTTGGAGCTGGAAATATTTATTGATGACTATATCAATAAATGGCTTGCTATACTGTACTTATTAGATATTTATCTTCATTCAGCCATAGTAATATATTCCAGGAGCATAGGAGTCAAAGGAGGAGCCCAGTTTCGATGACAAAATTTTGTTTTTTCAGGTAGAAAAAAAAATGCCAGGTTCAAACCTAGGGGCTGCTATATTAGAAAACCCACATCAGACAAGGCTGAGGTGATTAGGAAGAACCAATTGTCTCTGTCTTTTATCTAAGGCAAAATATTGACTAATTACGATCCACTTGGAATGGATCCTGAAAGGAGATATGTCCATGGATGCTTGGCAGAACTAGGGAAGGAGGTTGAGTGGCTCTCAGCAACACAATTCTGTGGTAGGAAAGCCATCACGGCTATGTGTACTGCAACGGGATAGCTGCCTGTCCCACACACAGCCAAGAGGGTTATGAATGAAATCACTCTTCCAATCTGTTATGGAGTGTGGGAAGAATCCTGCGCCTGTGGTAAACTATAGACCAGCTTCACACCAAGTGGTTTTTCATTGGGCAGGCTCTTCACTTATGTCAACCATGAGAAACTCTTCTCAAGGCCAACCTATGCCAGTTTCATCAAGCTATTGGATAATTATCAAGCACATGTTGGGACAGAGGAGAAATTCACAAAAGAACAGATGAAAGAACAAGACATTTTTCTTCAGGATATCATGAAGACTGAGGTCATGAAAGAGCTATATAAGTTTCTTCACAGCCAAAGTAAGTCTTTGGTAACTGAGAGATAATCAACGTGATTTTATACAGAATCATAGAACCATAGAGGTGGTCAACCTCAATCTTCTGCTCAGTGGAGAAATCCAAATAAAGTTATTTCAGGTAGACTTTGTAGAGTGTACAGTTGTATGAAGAAATATTAGGCAGCCCTAATCAAATTTAATTCCAAGGACTCTCCAAGTGAACAGAAACTGACATACATGGCACAAAACTAAACATATCTTTCTAGAAATGTGCTTACTATTCTCTTGGGGATTCACTAAAACATACAATATGACCAGGGTTGCTGCAATTTTAGTATATAATTATGCTTAGCGTGGGGAGCCCTCAATTCCTCCATTTTTGCTGTCAAACTTCTTCCTTTGCAATATAATATTGTATCACATGGAAGCTGTACCTGTTTTTGCTGAATGTGTGTATGAATAGACAAGGTTTTCATCCTGGAAATGGTTTTGTGACTGAGGAAAGTAACATAGGAGATGATTCACAACACTCTTATAGAACTATGATTCCTAAAACAAACAAGTTAGACATTTTCAGAATTAATGTGAAAGTTATTGACAATTTCAAAGAGCACATTTTTCTCCCAGCCTTCTTCCCATCTCTATTAAACATGTCTACTTTGGATTTCTTTCATAATATCTCTGGTCTACAGAGCATTGTTGGGATGATGTGAGAATTGTTTGTGATGTCTTCATGTAACAAGAAATTAATGATTGTTTGCCATCCATCTGTATCTCCATCCTAGATCGATATGATACAGAACCAGAGTTTGTTGAGGATCTTAAAAAGATGTGGTTTGGTCTTTATTCCAGAGGCAAGGATGTTAATGATAATGACTCCAGTGGCTTTGAACATGTCTTTGTAGGTAGGTTTAATTAAAACAAGCTGATATTCCTTCATACATTTAATTACAGGTAGTCCTCGGGTTATGAGTATTCATTCAGCAACTACTCAAAGATATGACAGAGCTGAATGAGGGAGATTCACAATGCGTTCTTGAAGTTCTGGCTGTTGCAGCACCCCATGGTCACGTGATTGCAATCAGGGTGATCACAAGCAAAGTCAATGGGGAAGCCAGCAGGAAGTTGCAAGTCATGATCATATGAGGTCTTTATTAATTTATTTATTAGATTTATGTGGCAGCCTATTGTAAACTCTGACTAGCTCACAACAATCATAAATTGAGATTCCTTGGATTGCTGTCATTAAGCAACATGATCACATGATATTGCACTTTACAACTGCATCAGTTAATGAAGGAGTTCTCAGTCCCAATTGCTGTTGAAACCCGAGGAGAACTACAATTTGTCTATGTGATATTGCTTTAGCACATTTTCCCACTTAAAAGTTGGAAGTTTGTGGCAAAGTGAAGACAGGACTGCTAAAAGCGAAGCTGATGACCTTGGCAGGATGAATATCTTGCCAATAGAAACTGATTTGTATTAATTTTTAAAGATATTCCCTATTTCCCCCCCCAATGTTCCTTAAAAAGACAGTTGTAGTGCAATCCATCTGCATATGAACTCAATGTAATTGAGGCTCACCAATGGGGGAGAATGGTCTATGTAGTTCAACTTGTGCAAGAAGTTCCTTAGGTTTCTTGAGCTCCATCTCTCTGAATTTCCAACCATCATATCCTTTGGTGATTCTGTTTCATTTCACCTTTTCATTAAGCTTTACCCCTGTCTTCCATTTTGCTACTATCATCCTTCCTATTTATCCCTCCATTGTAATATAATGAACTCTGTAAACTTCTCCTCCATTTCCAAAAGAATTTGGAAGAATTCCAAACCTGAACAGTTTTTTTAGGCTTTCCTTATTGATAGAATGGAGGAACGCTCTTTGTTAATTGTATAAAGCTTCTTTGTACAGGAATTATGACTTATAATTTGTTGTTAAGATAAATTAATATGTTCTTATGGCTATGGTTCTTTTTAGGAGAAATCAAACAAGGAAAAGTATCTGGATTCCACAACTGGATTCGTTTCTACCTTCTGGAGAAACAGGGTGTTGTTGATTATTTCAGCCACAGCTATGATGGTCCGGTATGTTTCACTGGAGAAAATGAATACTCTTCCATTATTGGAGAAAAATTAACCCACTTGGGGAAGAGAAGAAATTCCAGTTCAGCTGTTAATTCACTGGCACTTTCCCCAGGAGGTCACAGTACCTTCCCTGATGAAATACTGTAGGCATGCTGTGCATCTGTTTGACCTCTCTGTGAAATGCTGAGCTATGATTTCCAACATCCCTTGCTATTGACTGGACATACCCTTGTCAATAAAGCCAAATTCTCCTTGTTTAAGGGATAAACAGCTATGCAAATATTATGCAGGCCTGCCATTCCTTGGGATAATGGAAGCAGAGGAACAATAATAACAGGAGTAATAGCACTAGTTATATTGTTGTAATGCCAGGCTGTTGCTAAATATAATGGAGCATATGGGTAGAAAAAAATACACGCATCTCTATCTCTGTCTGTCTATTTATCTGTCTGTCTCTCTGTCTGTCTGTCCATCCGTCCATCCATCCATCCATCCATCCATCCATCCATCCATTCATATCTGTCTGTCTGTCTGTCTGTCTGTCTGTCTGTCTGTCTGTCTGTCTGTCTGTCTGTCTGTCTGTCTGTCTGTCTATCTATCTGTCTGTCTGTCTATCTATCTATCTATCTATCTATCTATCTATCTATCTATCTATCTATCTATCTATCTATCCATTGGCATTTCATTAACAAGGTATATTTCAGGTTTCTTCCTGTTTTTAGTATTTTATGAAGGCAGGATCATCTGGATTTGTTTCTAATGAAAAAATAGTATCATAACTATGACAACACTACTATAAGAAAAGTCCTTTAAAAAACCCTCTTGCAAAAAAAGCATGAAAGTATATTAGTATACATGAAAGTATATTAATGGTTAACTTTAATTTTATGGATGCAAGGTTCTAGCCCAATGTTGCAGATATATGGATGTGTATCTCAGCATAGTTAGCAGGGAGGTGTGTGCTTTTGGGCAAAAGGAATGCCTGTTCTCCCTACCTAAAACAGGTTGCAGAAAATACGTTATTAAAAATGGCGGTTCAAAAGAGAGAGAAGAAGAAGGAGAAAGAAAAGGAAACAACTTATACACAATTATCCAGTTGTGGCTGGTGACACATTCTGGGCACGCACAATGTCACAAAAAAAGTCTTTGACTGGATTCAAACCTCCAGAGAATGCAATGAGTTAAGTCCATTTTAGATGTTTCTTTGTGGACTCCCTCTTCTCTTAGTAATGAAGAATGGTCTCTTTAAGACTAATGAGAACAACACTGGAGCCTTCATTCATTTGCTCTTCCACTCCTAATATACCCTCTTGTTCTAGGGACTTTTGGGATACAGCAGCAATTTCTCCTTTCCAAAGAAATGATGGTTTGATTTTTCTCTAAGGGTATACAGCAGCACGCCTTCCTTCCTTCCTTCCTTCCTTCCTTCCTTCCTTCCTTCCTTCCTTCCTTCCTTCCTTCCTTCCTTCCTTCCTTCCTTCCTTCCTTCCTTCCTTCCTTCC